CCGCGCCCCCGACCCCGCCACTCAGACAGTCGGCCTCCCGATTCGCCACCTCGCTTGGTTCTGCCTTCCACCCTGTCCTGCCTCATTACGCCACGGTTCCCAGGCGGCAGCCGGCCTTCCCGCAAGCCCCGCCTCCAGCCCCCACCCCTCCCACTCCGCCCAAGTCTGTGGTGTGGTCAGCGTGTAACTTCACCCCACTGCCACCCTCGCCTCCCGTCATGATCAGCAGCCCCCCAGGGAAGGCCACGGGCCCGCGGCCCCTCATCCCTCTGGCGGGGCAGTCCCCCCTCAGTCAGAAGCCCCCGTCGCCATCCCCCAACGGCCCCCCCATGTTCCCCGCACCTTCACCTGTCACCATCCCACACAGCCACACCCCCCTCGGAATCACCTGCCCCACTCCGCCCCCGCCACCCACCCCTCCCCCTCTCCCCTCACCCATGGGCCTCCCCTTGTCGTCTTCGTCCGTCTCCTCATCCCAGGCTCCTGGTCTGCCCTCTCCCTCCACAGCGCCCCCTGCTGCCGCAGCTGCCGCCACCTCTGTCTCTGCTGAGCACCTCTCCCTCCCCGTGGGTCTGGGCCTGTCGGGGTCCCTGGAATCGGACGCAGGCTCAGGGCCCCTCCCAGCTCAGGGGGGCTCCTCCTGTCAGCCCCAGCCCCAGGGTAAGGCTTCCAATCTGGTTTCTGCAATCTCTCCTCTGCTCTTCTTCCCTCTGTCTCTCGCTGCCTCTGTCTGAATCACTAACAGGGAGATGGTGGAGCCGGCTGCCGTGCCTTACAGAACCTGCAAAAAACAAATGAAATATTTACAAATGAGTAGATCTTCCTTTGATTTTAGCAGGTAAATAAGACAATTTGCTGATAAATAAGATTTTTAAAAGCAAAAACACTCATTCCATTGGCAGACCTTCTGGTTAACCGCCCAAAATAAAAGCCAAAAGTCTCTAAAAGATTTTTGTAACTTAATTTTAGGCCAGTTTTTGCAGTGAATTGTTTTTCCTATTGTTTATTCTGTTGACTTTTATCGGCTCTTATAAGGATCAGGATGGCCGATCGGTCGAAGGCGCCAGACTCAACGTGTCAATCGTTACCAGCTTAGAGGTTTCTAGTCTCTAATAGGAGGCGTGGGTTCAAATCCCACGCCTGACAATGAAGTTTCGCATTAGTGGAAGTGGTGGCCTACTGGTTAAGGCATATATCTTGGAATCGTGTGGTTGTGAGTTCGAAACCCACTCTCACAGACTGCCACTTTGACTCTCTGAGCAAAGAATCTTAATCCCTGATTGCTCCCCGGGCGCCCCATGATGGCAGCCCACTGCTCCCCAATGGGATGGGTTAAATACAGAGGTAAATTTCTCCAATGTGAGATTAATGAAGGTCAATTATTTATTATAATTATTATTATACCAGCTGAGCTGTTGTAGATTTTCTTTAGTCTGTTTGTGAATCATTTACCTAATAGACCAACATTAAAACAAATTTAATCTGGAAATAAAACTTTGAAAACCATCTTAAATATAACAAGATATTGAGAGTAACTTTGTTGCTTTCTCTGTTGTTTTATTTTATTTTCCTAAAGTTTATTTTCATTTTTTTTTACAGTTTAGATTTTGAAATCCATCTTTTAAGGTTTCTCTTTCTCATAAATGTCATTCTTTTCAAATTTTTTTCACAGATCACATGCACTTCATTTCAAGCCTAATATAAACGCTTGCTCTTATAGTTCACAGTGACCATTAAAATGTTAGCATCCAGCAGACCAATAGAAATACATCTTTTCTACAGAGTAAAACCCGCCACCAGAAGTGAAGAGAAAATTTTCTGGAAAACGCAGTTTCAAAAGAATGTAGTTCATTAAACTGATTCTGGAAAAACAGGAAAACTGGAAAAAAAAAATAAAACGGCAAAGTTACTATCAAAACCTTTTATTTTATTAATATTCTTAAAGTTTCATTTCTGGATTGTTTTTTTCTTTATTTCGACCTTACATGACATGATCTCTGCAACAATATTACTCTATAAAATTGGACCAGTTTGATGTTAAAAAATATCATATATTTGCATTATTGTTAAACCGGTTAAAGTAATGTTAATTTTGGCCCCAAAAGAACATCTGGTTAACCTTTATGTCCCCCATTGCAAAATGTTGGGACACCCCTGACCTGAACTGTTAGACTGGGTGATTAGTGTGCAGGAGCAGCCAAAGGCCTTTGGTTGCACCACAGCCTGGGAGGAAGAAGAAGAATCTTTTAGCTTAAAAGACTGATCCTTTGAGGAAGAGTAGTGTGGCTGGAAGGACACAGAAAATGTGTGAAAAGGTCCAATGAGAACATCCATCCATCCATTTTCCATCAGGCTTTATTCCAAGCGGGGTAGCGAGGGGTGCTGGTGCCCATCTCCAGCTTTCAATGGGTAAAAGGTGGGGTGCACCCTGAATAGGTCGCCAATCTATCAAAGGGCACCAGTGAGACCACAATCAAAGTATTCAACACACATTGGCTGTGTCTGAATGTCCGCCCTGACCACTATATAGTGCTTACACCATTTTAAATAAGTGTCCGAACGTCTAGTGGATGAAAACGTAGCAGATTCAAAATTTCCCACAATGCACCATAAAAAGTAGTGATCATCCATGGTCACTAGACGAGTAGATATATCCCAGATTTCTTTGCGAGAGTTCTCCTTGCAAAGCATCATGGGATTTTTTGAGACAGTGACCCGTTGTATGCTAGGGACAGTGGCAACAAAGCACAAAGATGACACATGCACTGTACGAGGAGGCGGAGTTGCGTGACCAACGGGGAGCGTGGGTCAGTGGATCATCGGTCCGAACGTTCGGTTAAATGAGCTCAAATCCACTATGTAGTGGAAACAGGAACAAAACCTTGTTTGCAGAAACATAACTCTGCTTTCCTGCAATAGGGACAGAGAAGCTAAAGGGAGATGATGGAGGAAAACCGGTTTGAGGCTAGAAAAGTCCTCCCCCTTCCATCCAACTACTGACCCTAAATACAGATCAAAGTCCAGACAAATCAAATTGAGAATCTGAGGCAAAACTTTTTGTTCTCAGCTAACATGGTTGAGATTGGGCTTTTCTGCAAAGAGCCTAAGTGGAAGAAGTAGCTCTATAAACCAGAAAAGACTTTGTGTTGTTCTTGTGCACCTTTTACTACAAACTACCACCTTCCTTAGACGGCTGAATGCTAGCACAGCGAGATTTTATCTAAAATAGATTTTTTTTCCCTCTGCACATTTATGCAATCCGTTGTTTGGGTCTATCACAAAAAATCAGGTCTAAAGCATATAGGAGTTTGTTAAATTGTGATAAATTTGGAAAGGTTTAACTGATATAAATACTTTTGCAAAGCAAAAGATAATCGTGGCTGTAGTTTGTTTGGGATTAACGGTAGCGGATGTTTCTCCATCCCATCCTTTCTCTGGACATCCTGCTTGCTGCTGCAGGACCAGGCTGTCTGCTCACCGAATATGAAACATGTCTTGTCCAGCTTGGCATGCCTGACTCATCCTTATGTGTTAAAGCAGATCTAACACCTTCGCTCTTTTTTTCTTCTTTTCTCATTAATCTTCCACCTTTTGGCTGCTTCTGTGGTTTGTTTCGATCCAACTTTACGCCTCCTGCCTGCATCCAGACAGTCTCACCCAGCATCGGACTGTAAATATAAAAATAATGTGTCAGTGAGCATCTATACGTTTTAAAAAGGACAGGATGTTGAATTTTAGCTTAACGTGTTGATGATGCAACATTATTTAACCCTGTAATGCCAAATGTATCATATTTGATACATACGGTTTCTGAAATGTTTTGCGTCTGACACCTTTTGCATAATTTAATGGTTAAAAACTTTGCTCCAAATCCTATTGTACACAATCAGATCTACCTGATAACAGAGGGCAGAAGACTACACAAAAAATAATCTTGACTTATCGCATAGTAATAAATTATTAATATCAAAAATGTATTTCTGTTTTTTCTTTTTACATATTTTGTTAAAAGGCCAAATAAGGACTTCAAACCAAAAAAAAGTAATTTTCTGTTTTGTTTTATTCTTGGATCGGGCTTTAAAGGGTTAATGTCATCTCGCATTAAAACCATGCAGCAGGAGATACCAGGTGCTTATTATGAATCAAACTGGCTTATTTTAACACAAATAGCTCCACAGCAGCACTCTGATCAATAGCTGGTAAAAACCCACCTCCATGTGGTGACCTCAGAGGGAGAACACTGTTGGAGCTCGCTCAGCATTCTATAACGGAGAAGGAAGGAAACATTGATGGTTGTTCCAAAACATCTAGTCTGGAAATGGTTTGTGTGGTTGAACCATCAGCCAGTTTAAGATCAGGAGAGGGTGGTGAGACTGAGGAACATGGAGGCGTCACACCTTACAGGTCAGAACCATCCAGAGAAAACCTCTAGTTTACAGAGTCGGACTCTGAGCCAGAGGGTGATGCTATTATGACCATAGCAGCCCAAGGAGAATATGCACGCTGGAAAAACATGGCCGCCTCTAGTACAGACAGTATAACTAGTTATTATTAGTTTAAAAAATATAAATTGATTTATGATATCTTATATGATAACATTATTTTCAATAATAAATCTTCCACTGCTGTTACAAGAAATGATCTCTTATATTCCTAAAGGTGTAGCCTGCTACTGCACCTGCTCCTATTAGTGTTGTCAGATCTAGCTGTTTCCAGCCCAAAAACTATGTAAACACCCCCTAAATGTAGAAGAAAAAAAAACATAAATTCATTTGAACCTATTTTAAAACCAAATACCTATAAAACATCAAATACAGAACAAAGAGGCATGTTATTAGCATGAAGTTAGCTCTTACTGCGGTACTACAGAAGCTTAAGAAGGAAAAATCAACCCCCAGAGTGGGTGGAGTCTGGTTACAGTTTCAAAAACCTACATTGCTGTGATAGTTGATTCCTTCCCGCTATCATCGCAACCACAACCCCCATACGGGGGACCAGAATATCTCACCTGTTTAGCCAGGCCAACAATTCCCCCTAGCAACCCAATTTCATAGACATAGACCAGTATCTGGTATTGCAGGCTAACAAAGAACCCAAACGACTCCCCATTCCTAAGAGGTGGACCCGTTCTTCTGGTTCAACTTGCATGTTTCTAAGCCAAAAGAAGACTTTGTTTTTGATCCACTCTATAAAGCCTTGAACTCAATGCTATTTCTGACATTTTGAATTGAAAATGCTTCCTGGATGGGAAGCGATGCGTCTTTAAACTTGGAAATGACTGACTGAGAATCTTCAACAGCATACAGAAGCTAAAACACTTAACTTTGGATCAATCTATGATCTAAGCTCCAAATCAGCCTCTGGTTCTTTTCTGAATAATTTTTTAGATTTATTTTACCTCAACATCATCTGAGCTTGGATGTGGAGCTGGAAAAGGAAGCTGTGGGAGCGGCACAAGAAGGTTCCTTATAACAATCCGTCAGTGTCTGACTCAAACACTGGCTAATGTTCTTCCATAGGCAGGCTGTTGGCAGCAGTTCACTTTTGAGTTTTATTGGACAACTAGATGGGGGAACAAATAAAAAAACACATATTGCAACCACAGAAGAGAAGCCATGGAACTGCTCCAACTTCTCCCGATCTTGTCTGACCTGCTTCACGCACTTTGAAAGCAGCTCAGGATCCTTAGAAAACTTAAATTAGTTGAAGCCATCCTTATGGGGGTTGAAGCAAAACGCTGCAACTCAATGCGATGGCAAAACTGTATGTTAATCCATGAAAAATTCAGCAGCCGTCTTTAACAAAACCAGTTCCAACTCTGTTGTTCTACCGCATATATCATGCCTGCGATGCTATAGTCTTTTTAGATTCAAATCTATTATATGTGGATGCCCTTGATCAATATTAACGTATTGTTCAACAAGAAATACTAGAAAATGTCCAAATGGTGTCATCAACACTTTAAATTTGCTGAATGAATAGATTATTCAATAGATAGCATAACACAGCAGAGGCCCACTGACCTCCATTCTCTGGCCTGAGGACGTTTTTCCCACCAGTACCAGTTGGTGTCAAAGGAAAAGGCGGGGGGGGGGTTGGGTTGACTTTCATTAATCAACAGACAGCATTTCATTTCAAACAGTCACATCTTCCTGTTCAAAGACAATCATCTTGTTTTCATGAATACATCCAGATGAGTGTTTAGCAAATGTTTTGCTTGTTGGCTGCTGTTGCTTCACATTCAGCTCAACAAGCTGAATCAGTTTGTTCTGTTCATCATAAAAGAAACAAAACATGCTGTGTTTCACTGTTTCCTGAATCCATCTTTACTGCACATTAATCTGCTCTGAAATGACTGTCATTAATAACTTGCACCTCCATGTTGCTGGTTGTGGGCTTACAGTCAAACATGGGCATGCATCGTTGAAATGCATTGGTTTCTACCTTAATTTATACTGCAATGTTAAAATTGGGGATGTACAGTTAATAAATTTGATGAAACTTATTTTTTACCTCATTCAGAGTGAGGAAAACTCCTGCATCCTTTCCTCAGTTGCTTCTTAGATGCCAGTAGTATTACCATCCAGCTGAGCTGCAGGGTTTGGAAGTAGAATAATGTGAAGATAAATTGTCTTTTGATTTGCCATTGGATAATGCTTACCGGTAGGTGTAGAGTTTCATCTGATAACTCATGATCAATCAATTTCTAAAATAGTCATCAACTAATTTGGCATTAATTCCCTAACTAGATTAATGGAACTTAGACTTTAAAACAGTCCACTTGCTAAAAGAAGAACATACTAACAGCAGCAATTAGGACACAACTCTACAAACAATTTAAATATTTTCCAATTGACAATGAAAATGTTACATGCAAGTATATTTTTATCATGTTTTCGCCATTTAGAACTCATCTAAAATTAGCAATAAAGATTATTCAGCAATAGAGGTTTCCACGGGTCATTACAATCATTAAGTCATTAAATCATTATTTTTTAAATTAAGGCCCTAATTGGCATTAAAATTTGATTATCGTGGCATCAAAATGCTTTATATATAAAAACAAATTTTAAAAAGTCTATCAAAACAATTTTGTCAGATATATCATATTGCGATATATTTGCGTAGAACTGCTTCTGGTTGATCGTAAAACCGTATGTTTGGAAAAGAAGCTCAAGGCGGAGAAAAAGCAGGAGAATGTGGAAATGCAAAATTCAACAAAAGTGGCTGGAAAACGAGGAATTCGAGACATAGCTGCAACCTGTCAATGGTAAAGATAAAGGATTCTTATTATAGGAGAGTCATGGGTACTTGCTGATGGTTTAAAATTATTTCTAAGAGCATTAAATTAGAGTTATCATTCCTGTATAAACCCTGTTATTATTCCTGTAATTCAGGCATTTATTTATTTCAAGATATGAACTTATTTTAGATTATTGGAAAAGTATGAATAATTCAGGGTTTCCGCAGGTCATTGAAAATCATTTAAAAGTCAGTTTATTATTTTTTAAAGTAAGGCATTGATAGGCATTAAAATTCATTAACTGTGATTATTTTTGCATTAAAAATTCTTTATTTAAAAAAAAAACATTTATAAAAACAGTTTTGTCAGATATATTATACTGCGATACATTTGCGTGGAACTGCTTCTGGTTGATCATAAAGCTGTATGTTCGGAAAAGAAGCTCGAGGTTGAGAAAAAGGAAAATCAAGAAAATGCAAACTTCAGCAAAAGTTGCTGGAAAACAAGGAATTTGGGACATGGTTGCAGCCTGTCGAGGGGTACTTGTTGATGGCATTACAATTATTTCTAAGAGCACTGAAAGATAATGAAAAAGCATTTAATTAGAGTGACTCATTCCTGTATAAACCCTGTAATTCATGGCTGCAGCCATACTTAAGTTTGTCGAGATGAAGATCACACCGTAAACCAACAACTGGTAAACCAAAACCTTTTTTAACAGCAGAATAAAAGTCATAAAGTAAACAACTGTCCAATAAAAAATAATTATTTCATAATTAAGTCTTTATTTGACATTTTAACAGAATCAATATTGTCAAAGTTTTTTTTGTTGTTTTTGTTTTTTTTTTTTAGAAAAATTCCCAATGCAATTACACTGGATCCCCTCTAGGGGGCACCCCTCTCCACTTTGGAAAATGCTGATTTACTCCAAACAAATCATAATGTGTTGGTGATAATCAAGAATCAATACTTGCTGCAAAATAGAATCCAAGAAGCTCTGCTCAGATTAAAGTCAAAAAAAGAACAAGAAAACATAACCACGACCTTTTACTGGAATCCCTAAAATATCACATTAGTTCATCAACCCCCTCACATCGCCTATTTGCTCTTAACATGTGGATCAAATCACCTGTGTTGTTCTCCTTCAGCTCATTACTGATGATGTCACATCCTGTTATTGTAAACAGTAAAGCCCAGAATAATCAATGGAAATTAGATTTAAAATCAATTCCATTCAGTTTAGACATTTGTTTTAGAAAAAATGTAGGCGGCCATCTTTGTAAAACAATTTGTAATCATTTGTTTCTGTATTAATTAGCAGATCCTCTTGTCTTTGAGGTCGGAATGCCTTCCTAGCATAACCCTAAACTTTAGCTCGCTCCAGAGATTCAAGCCAGGGTTCAGTTAATATTACTACCAGTCAGACCAAGGGTTTCTTATTCTTAATCTACTTGTTTATGAATGATTTCAACCTAATCTGTAAATCTCCATCTGATTCTAACGCTCCTATTTTCCTGGGTTGTTGTTATGCAGCAAACTCGGAGATTGATTATTTGTCATTTTAATGTGGAGATGAGTAACTGAGCTCCATGGCTAAGGACAGTTAGTAGTTGAATTATTACGTTAGAAGTGTCTAACGTGAGGAAGGTTTATTGTAGAGAAGCAGTAGTTATTCAGCTTTCAGTCGTTTCTTTGTTCAAACTAAAGTTAGAAAAGGAGGAAAACCTTCAGGTTTGGATATTTGGTTGAAGGTCTGAGGTTTTATTCTGTCAGAATGAAACTTTCAACCTGATTTTCTCTTCTCTCCCTCCCCATCCATCCCAGCAGACGTGGCTCAGACTCCGGCACTGACCACCCCTACCCCTCCCCCACCTCCACCCCTGCCGCCCGGCTCCACTGTGACCTCAGCAGCTGCCAGCCCCACCACCCCGGCCGGACACCCTCCTCCACCACCGGCTCCTCCTCTCCCTCCCTCTCTGACTCCAGGCGGGACGCCACCCCCTCCACCGGGTCCTCCTCCCCCTCCCGGAGCACCACCACCACCCCCGGCACCACCTCTTCCCGCGGGGCTCTTCTCTCCTGCCGAGGATCGCCCCATCTCTGGTCTGGCCGCCGCCCTCGCTGGAGCCAAGCTGCGCAAAGTGCCAAGGGTGAGCAGCTCGGTTCTCCCTGCCACCTGAGCCGCCATTGTTGCTTTAGTGGTTTGCAGCTCCTCTAGCTCAGGGAGTCATGCTTGGTCTCACCCATGCAGTCACCATCTGTCACAGCTCACCTCAGGCCCAACGCTCCATGGCTGCTTATCTGTGCTACATGACAAAACACTGGAAATAAAACACATGATAAATTCACAGTTAGCTGTTTGTTTCCCCCTATAGAGCGATGACGCAGGGGCAGCTCTGGCAGCGGCCCTGTCGGGGGCCGCAGGGGCCAAAACTGAGGCCAGAGGAAATGGGCCTTTGCCTGGAGGAGGAGGACTGATGGAGGAGATGAGCGCCTTACTGGCCAGGAGGTAGATTGCTGATTCTAGTTTGTGTGAAGCTCCTTATTCTATTGATTAGATCTATTTTAATGCAAAACCAACTAGACTCAGATTACAGCTGCATGACTGTAGGATTATGTCGTCATTTGGGACATTTATGGCCGTCTTCAGTGTTCATCCTGAGCATTTGTAGCCACAGAGTCCTTTACTTTACATATAGCAGATTCTGATGCTTCCATGTAAGTAAATGGAAAGTTCTGATTAGTTTAAGAACAGTTATCTTTATGTTACCATTTTGTTTTTGATGGCTAGCATTGTCGTTTGTCCTTCAGGAGAAGAATCGCAGAGAAGGGCTCCTCACCTGAACCTGACCAGAGATCAGTAGGTGTCATCAACTTGATTTATCTCTGATTTGCTTCCATTTTCAAATTTTTCATGTATTTAAATTTTTTTTTTCCCCTTCTGAGTCACACAAAAGCTCTTGTGTGAGCCGTGGTTTCCTCAGAGAGGCCAAGATCTACATTCCTCACATTCTTCTCTGAAACGATTCCTCAGTCTCTCAGTGCTTCATGCTAGGAATGTGAGAAACATTCCAATGTCAAAAACCTGTGGAAAGATTTAGAAATTTAATATTATCAGTAAAACTTCAAAAGAGTTTCCCTTTTTCCTCAGGGAGCATCATACACATCTACTTTTACAGACGTTTAAACACTCAGAGTGCATTCTTTTCAGATTATCACTGGCCATTGATCAGGAACATTTTTTTTTACTTTTGTTATAATCTTTATTATTTCACACAAAATGACATATAAACATACAACTAGGAAATAACATAAGGAGATGCTTTTACTGTTTTAGTTCTAACATGTAATCATATCTGTAATACAGTGGTAGCCAGTCAAAATTCTTGATGGGTCCTTTGCTTGTTCCCTATAATTAATTTTTAAACATTAATCTTTGTACTAAAATCTTCTTTCTGTCATGATTTGTGGACATTAGGATCTAAAGAGAAGATTATCTCCTGGTCAGAGCCTGTACTTCAGTGAAAGGGTGGAGTCAGAGTAAAAAATATGCAAGAGGGGGTCACTCCATTGGCTGAAAGTTGGAGGGGATTTTGCTGGGAGTTGGAGGGAAGTTGGCTGCCATTCAGCTGCCGTTTGACAGGGAAGGGCCATTTTGAATGGCTGCTACTGTACATCTTGCCTTTTTTTAAGCATTTTTTTACTCTCTCCATTCCATTATACATTATACTATACTGATATAAAGCCAATGTCTGAAATAAGTTTTATTGGGGGGTGGCGGTGGTGTAGGACATAAAGGTCGCTAGTGCCTAAAATCAAGCCTTTAAAAAAAATTATTTCCTTTTGAATATTCTTCCAAAAAGTCTGAAAACTATAAAATATGAGTGAACCACCAGTCCATAACCACTCTAACACCTCTCTGAGACCCTTAACCCCTGATTGCTCCCCACGATGGCACCCCACTTTTCCCCAAGGTTTTTTTTTTCTAATGTGAGATCAATAAAGTTCAATTATTATTATTGTTGTTATTATTATAAGTATTACTTTACTCTGATGTGAGAGATGGAGTAATAAAAGGCCTTGTTCTGATCTTCCAATCAAACAGGTACTTTATGTCCTGTTATAAAGGTTTCTTTTATTGTTTGTCTGGAACTGAAGCTAATTAATACAAGTTGTGAAACACCTTATTTTTTTATGTGCAGAGATGTAAAACTATCATTAACAGACAGGGTGTGTCGCTCTGACATACTGTCAGGCTTTCTGACTGTGAGATAGCTCTCTGTTTTTAATTATATCCACCAATCAGTGCTGAGAGACATTGTTAGCACCTTTTAAACGGTGGGCTTCTGTTGGCTCTGAATTTTAAAACATGATTCCATTAAGGCCATTAACTCACTAAAGCCTTCTCCATCTACTGTGGTAACTGCTAGCATGTCACTTTCTGTCATGCTACAAACATTCTGTTGTAATGCCTTTAACTTTCCTGTTGTCACATCCTCTCCTTCTGAACACAGCTTAGAAGATCTGCTGCTCCTCCATGCAGCTCAGCTAAATGGGAGATATTTAGGTCAGAACTAAAGGAGTTTATCCAGAGTTTATATTTACAACCCGAACAGAAGTATATTCTGCATCCTTTGATCCATTAAAAAGTGGAAATAATCTGGACCACACTCTAGATCCATTCAGGATTTTGCTCGAGCATGGCTCTGCTCTGGCATTACTTCTATTACCAGTGAGGCTCCACTTAAGAACCAATTACCGGTATGTATTAAGGCTGCCTCATTCAGAGCCCTAATTCTCCGTCTGAGGACGGTAAATAAATTTGAACCTTTTTCTTGCAGGAAATGCCTCAGCTTCCTAACTCCACAATTTGTTTTCATCTCTAGTTCTTAAAGCTCTTCTAGTTAGATATAGTAATGCTATTTGAAGGAATGACTTTAGGCTTCTGAGGTTTCACTCTGAAATGTACCAGAAGTCTGTTGTTTAAATGGATAAAAAAAAAAAAAGAAAATCATTTTGTTTTTGAATGACTTGGCTTTAACTTTTAAACATGTCTGCCTGCCCAACAGGAGGACAGTGAGATCAACACAACCCCAAAAGTGTCAGCCTGTAGCACACCAGGTAAGTTTCTGAGGCCTTACTGCTTTCTTTCTCTGCTTTATTTTCTATCAGCTTTGTAGCATATTTCTAAAGCTTTGATATGCTAAAGCTCTCCTTTAAAAGAGCATAAAGCAAAGGCATTGGAAATGTTTTTCCATCCTTCCTTCTGTTAGCTTTGTTAGAAGCAGATACTGCTGGAGGTTTCCACCTGTTAAAAGGGAGGTTTTCCTCCCCACTGTTGCCAAATGAATATTCACTATGAGAGATTGCTGGAAAGTCAGCGACGCATTGAAAGCAGCGCAAAATGTTAATCCAGGAGGAGGGAGTTCTAGTCAGCCACCTGATGTAATCAGCGGAGTTTACTTGGATAGAAAAACTTTAATCTGTGTTTGAATTGATTGAATTATCTTTAAATGACCTCGAGATGACGCGTAATGTGAATTGTCGCCATATTAATTGAGTTTTTGATAGAGGGAATATTTAACTGCCCTTGGCAGCTTTTATTAGTCTGTGCTGTTTGTATGACCAAAACGGTTCGCTCATTAGTTACATGGATGCAAATAGTTTGAAGGAAGGCCTGTTTAGATCAAAAATGCTTCAGCTAAACATGTCAACACTGAAGAATCCAGTCCTATCTGGAAAGAAATTTCATTCCAATGTACATAGGTGTTTTTTTCCAATCCCCATTCCGACCGGCGTCAACGGACACAACCATTTGGATCTTTGGAGTAAAATCTCCTCATGTACAACATTAGTGTGAAGTTTTTCTCTTTACTAATCTTCATCCAACAGCTCTGGTCCTCCTTAGAGCAGGAGGTGGCTCTAAATATAATGTATGGAGGAACATGCCATCCCAACATCTATCCCTATAGCAAATATTAGCAGAAGGTACAAATGAGCCCTTAACTAAAATGATCACCAAAAACTAAAGTATGATGCGATGGAGGTCCATAATGTGTGAAAAAAACATCAACAGACACGACTAAAGAAAAGGAAATAGGCACTAGGAGCTACAGCTGAGGATGAGCGGACCAGTATGGGTTTGTTTGCAAAACAGGCAGCTTCTACAACTATTGAAGCGTGTCTAAAAAGCTAGACAGAAAATCTGATCTAAAGCTTGGTACACACGTCATGATCGGATCATTTATTTAGTGTCCAGTAGTTTAGACTACTGTAACAGTCTATTCTCATGTCTAAACAAAAAGGAGTTGTCTCGTCTTCAGCAGGTTCAGGACTCTGCGGCAAGGTTAATGACTCATACAAACAGAAGGACTCATATTACGCCGATTCTAAAAACTCTTCATTGGCCCCCAGTCTCTTTTTGGTTTCAGTTTAAAATCCTGGTGCTGACCTTCAGGGCCTTTTAAGGTCAGCCTCCCTCCTACATTAGAGACCAGAACCTGATCATGGCCCCTTATACTTGTTAAAGGACCAGGGGAGGTTTTGATAGCACTCTTTAACGATCTTCCACTTTCCTTGATTAGCTTACTTGATTCTGTTGATGTTTTTAAGAGTGAACAAAAAACCTATTGGTTTAAAAAAGCATTTTAATTCCAGTAGATTAAGGGTTGTTTTATGACCATGTCTTTTGTGACTGTAAATGTATTTTATTTGTATTTTAATTTTGTGAAGCATTTTGTGACCTCTATGTCTGTGAAAGGTACTATATAAATAAACATTACTTAATTACTTACTATTACATGTAAACAGAGATTTAGATCCTCCGATCAAACAAGAATTAGATTGGATCTGAGAGATTTTATGCCGGTAAATGTAGCTATTGTGTAAATCTAATCTATAATAATTCCTATGTTGACTTGAGATTTAATGTATTACCAAAAACGGGTATCTTTTGAATTTATTTATTTATTTTTTGTTTTTTGTGGTTAAAGGGTAAAAAGAAAAGCTGGCGTTTTTAGTGCAGTCTGATGTTTTTAGTATTAGGTTTTAGCTGATCAAAGAGATTGAGTTCTTCACCTTCTATCAGACCTGTTAATGTGTTTAATTCCTTGGTCACAAATTAAGCCAAGAAATGATCTTTTGGCTACTATCTAATGTTTTAAAAAATCAACATTAGTAGAAGTTTGTCTTTTGTTGATTTGTGTGCTTTTGTTGTTTTGAAGACATGCCCAGGAAACCATGGGAAAGAACGAACACCATGAATGGTAGCAAATCTCCAGTGATTGGAAGGTAAAGTTTCCCCTCAGCAGACACTCTGATCATCTCATTACGTCTTCGTCTTAAACTCTAATTAATATGAGATTAATCTGGATCACTTTGAAAACTTTTATAAAACAACAAGCTGTTAGTATCAGCTAGCTTTAGCATGATGCACCTCTGGGGCCGTTTAGTGATGCCTAACGACTTTAAAGCTTGTGTTGCCTCTATGTGCACAACAGGGGTTCCTCACACATTGCTATGTTGAGAAAATATCAGATGAGGGATGATGTTTCACTGTCTGACCTACGGTGGGCTACCGGTTTGGGCATTTCGCCTGGAATCCAGAGGTTCTGACTTCCAGCCCCGCTCCCGCACAATGGCGGCCCACTGCTCCCAAAGGGGATGGGTTAAATGCCGAGAGTTAATTTCATTGCTCTGTACTTGTGACGGTGGAATGACGATAAAAAACTGGAATATTAGCCGATACTGGCTCAGATGTGAAGCTCGCAGACATTTTAACTTCTGATCAGGGTTTACTAATCATGGAACAACAGTGAATCCCTCAAATAATTAATTGTAAATATATCAAACCTAGATAATAGCGTCACATAGAAAACCTAAATATAATAAAGATTTCATAAGTAAAAACCATCTAAAACATCTGAAGAACTCTGAAATTTCAAAAATAGAATAAAAATTCCCTTTTACAATGTCTGTAGGTCTGAAACAAAGATTTAAAAGATGAAAGGAAATACTACTATCTGGTCTAACACAATATGTTCACTGTGCAGGTCATTAGATATTTTAAAATAAGTCAACAGAGATAAGTTATTATATAATATAATAAATGCAATTAAAACACAAGAGACACATCTGGTTCTACAGGTCTAACATGTATCCTGATATATGCAGATTCATGTGAGCACAATTACAAAAGATCAATTACACTGCAGAAAATGTTCATTTTAATAATTCACTTTTACCTAATTTAAGTGCATTTTTTCCTAAATTTACTTTGTTAATGCAACAAGACGATAAATATTTAAAATAAGAAAAAACAATTACATTGTTTTATTTCAAGTGCATATTAACTAATTATGTTACTGTAAGAGTAAAAGCAAGAATTCTATTGGCAGATCATCTTATTTACCTGCTCAAATTAAGGCTAAATACACCTAATTTAAGAAATGTTGACTTGCATCTGCATTGTTTTTGCAGTGTAATAAATGTATAACAGCATATTTAATCAGAATTTTTAAATAAAACATTTGCTTCCTCCATTTGAAGTGGTCCAGAAGCCAAACAAAAGCACCGTATTTCATTCAGTAAGAATAGAATTGCCATGTTTGGACAGATCTCAGCCCATCTGCCTCGTACCAGCTGTCATGCATGGCAGGGACGGGGTCATGGTTTGGGCCTCTTTTACAAAAACACTTCAACAAAGGATCTAGATATGATCTGCAGTGCATGATATGTGAGGAATGCTATGGAACAGAGGTGAAAGATACAAGGTATGTTATTTTCATGGTCTGAGGAAGGTATTGTGACACTAGGTGAAACACTGACGTGATCAGAACTCATCTGATAACTGAAGCATGGCTGACGCCGACTCATCAACTGGACAATGATCCCAATCATAGCAACAAATCTGCAACAAAGTGGCTAAAAAGAGATAAAAAAATCAAGACTAAAGTAATCCAAAGTCCAGCCTGATTAAATGCTGTGAGACTAAACTCCTAAACAAGGGGTTGTTTTATTTGAAATAAACATATAGTGATGTTTCTAAAGGTTAAAACTTTAGGTTAACATGAGTTAATGTTTGTGAAGATCTCATAAAGACGCCTCATCAGGCAGCTAGAGCTGTAGGAAGTAAAGTCTGTGTCTCTGCTGCTCACACAGACGAGAGTCTCCGTGGAGAAATCCCATGGGAGCAGATTCCTCCTCCAGGTAGAGAGACAAAAGCTCTGAGGAGTTTCAGGAACCTTCTCCTCCAGTCCAGCTCTTTCCCTTAATCTCAGTTTGCTGTGATGGAAGTGTTCTTTTCCTTCTTTACAATTTAGAAAGCAGTAGTTGTTAAATGCTTGGAGGAATGTTTCTGTGTGTTCCTCTCTAACCCGCCGGCCTGCAGGGACCAGCTTTGTGTGGCTTATTTCCCCCCGATGATGAAATTCAAACATCATCTTGTCGTTGTGTTTGCATGCTGTTTTCATCCAGACGTTTTCTGTACTGCTCCAGAACAGAGGAATCTATGTGGCTGTGTCACATTCTGCGCACCCTCCCTATCATTAGTGGCCGCCCGGCGCAGCGTAGAGTTGGCGTAGGATTATCTTTGCAGAGCCAGAGCAAATAGCGCCGTCGTTCACAGATAAGGCAGAGCGTATGCATGAGAGGGCACACCAGATGGGAGGTCTGGTTGTTTAAAACCAGAGCCAGAGAGCTGACTGAGCTCTCAAAATATTAAATATTCATTTTTCTACAGACTGGAAGAGGCCAACTTTCTCACACAGTTGCAGAATATCTGATCTTTGTTGAAGTTGTAGTGTGTAACATGTGGAAACAAACCGTTTTCAGCTCGATGATGACCTGCCGCTCAGCTCATTTCCTTTCCTTTCACTTCGCCCTCCTACCAAGCTTCCTCTCTTTAAACTGATTGGCTGCTTTCTGAGCGAGTATAGAGCAACCGGGGGCTCGGCCTAATTGCTGGCATCCTCTTTGCTTTTTTTTGGGCTTGACTTTAACACAATATTTTCTTAGTCCAGTAATTGTGTGATCCATTTCAGAGAAACAAGACAATAAAGTCACAGATTATACATCATGTTAAAACTTGTCAGCCTCTGAACACGCATAAATATATGAAAGAAAGTCAAGAGAAATCATGGTTTATATATCAAAGTATTCTTTCTAATAGTAGGAATAAATCCAGTTGTTCTAGTTCTGGATTCAGAAACACAAATGACCCCTGGGCTGCAATATTTGATCCACCAACAGAGGTGATGGAGAACTATGAAAGATAAAATCTACATGTAATACAGCACAAACCTTTAGTGCAATCAGCTGTATTCTAATTCTAAATGCAGTGAATGAATGAATAGGAATTTATTTCAGGCAATTTTTCAGACAAACAAATTCACAAACATCAATAAATCAATCAACCAAATACACACAAAAGAGGGGGGTTGACATTAACCTTACCAAATGCCAATTTCCAAACTAACTAAGTTCACCTGAACATAAATACAAAAAAAACTCCACCAAATAATCCTGTCGGTATATACAGCCAGAGAAATGACAGTGATTAATGTAAATTTTCTGAAAAGGGTATGAAGAAGTAAAACTTCACAACCCCCTCTCCCTCTAATTACTTAAAGTTGAGTAACCTTCCTTTAATGCAGCTAATGTTGGAGAAAGACTGACCCAAATTATGTTTGATTGGCTGAAAATTGACCAAAACAATTCTGTTGAACCCAAGAGATTTACAAGAAATCAGAATATTGCATTTTTATATGTTGCCGCAAAAACAAATATCAAAGTGTATTTGCCTTCTCACCACCAAACATATGGTGGTTAGAAAGCAGCTTGTGCTTCCATGCATGCCCTCTGTGTGAGCATGTTTCAAACAGGCTTTCTCTACATCAACATGCTGGGTTTTTCTTTTTACATTATTTATTCAAATGGTTCTTGCCACTGGTATAATTTTAAACTGAAACAGAATGAAGGTCGGTTTGAAGGTTCTGTCATGGTGCTTCCCAAAACCAACATTTCCTCAAGTGTGAGGTTTAAAGCCACTTATTCAACATAACGTTGTGCTAATGCTAGCTGATTACTTTCTGCTATGCTAGCTGATCAGTTCAGTTGGTGCTAATGCTAGCTGATCAGCGGGCGCCTAACACTAGCTGTTCAATTGGTGCTTATGGTAGCTGATCAGCTGGTGCTAATGCCAGCTGTTCAATTGGTGCTAAAGCTAGCTGATCAGCTGGCATTAACGGTAGCTGATCAATTGGTGCTAATGCTAGCTGATCAGCTGGCATTAACGGTAGCTGATCAATTGGTGCTAAAGCTAGCTGATCAGCTGGCATTAACGGTAGCTGATCAATTGGTGCTAATGCTAGCTGATCAGCTGGCATTAACGGTAGCTGATCAATTGGTGCTAATGCTAGCTGATCAGCTGGCATTAACGGTAGCT